AAAGCAAGTCAACTGCTGTACCCCCATAATCCAGTCAGTTTCCAAAAGCCCAGCTCTGGACATGTCAGGCTTTGAGGGACATTCCAGATCTAAACCTCAAAACACTGACTTTGTATCTTGTGACCTAGCTAAACTCAGTGTTTGTGGCGCGCGCGCGCGCGGGGGGGGGGGGGAGTACATACATTATGTCACATTTTAATCACTTTTTATCACTGGGACAAAATATCTGACACCCCCAACTTATAGGTTTTAGCTCAATTTTACAAATTTCAGTCCATGGTCAGCTGGCTCCAAGCAGAAATCCTGCCACGAAGAAAGCTACTTACATCATGGTGGCCAGGAAGGAGAGAGAAGGGAAGGCCTGGGGAGATACACACTTCCAGCTCAAGGCCCAGTGACCCGCCTCTTCCCACCAGGCCCCACCTCCTAAAAGCAAGTCAACTGCTGTACCCCCATAATCCAGTCAGTTTCCAAAAGCCCAGCTCTGGACATGTCAGGCTTTGAGGGACATTCCAGATCTAAACCTCAAAACACTGACTTTGTATCTTGTGACCTAGCTAAACTCAGTGTTTGTGGCGCGCGCGCGCGCGGGTGGGGGGGGGCTTTTTGATTTCTTGGGATTTTCGGAGTGGATAATCATGTCATCTGTGAATACAGACCATTTTGTTTCTTTCTAATTCAAATACTTTTTGTTTCTTGCCTGACTGCACTACCACGGACTTCCAGTACAATGACCGACAGGACTGCTGAGTGGTCTTTACTTCAACAGCATCTGATTGATCAGGATATTTTCAAAAAATTAGACTTGTTAAGTTTTGGTAGATGACCTTCATTGAATTGCGATGTCTTGTTTTCGTCTCTAGTATTTAGTCAAATGTTTTTTCTCATTGAAATAATCACGTACTAATTTTTTTCCTTCTTGTTCAGCTATGTATCATTTTCATTTACTTTCATCTCATTTTTTAGTCCTTTTTTTGTTCTAAAATATTTCATTTGGTTCCTTTTCTATATTCAATTTCCTGCCGAGTACCTGACATTGTCCTTCATTTCTTAGTCATACTTTCTGAAGCACTTCCGTAAATATTGAAAATCTTGGTGTGCAGCTGGTCAGGAGGAATAACGCCCATCTGCTGTTCTTTAGCAGAGTAAGATAGCTTTAACTGGCAATAATTAATTGTAACCTCAAAATGGCTGGTAAAGAGGATTATAAATGTCATGAAAATAAAGAAATGTGTCTGAGGTGAGACATGCCAATAACTTGATCACTGAAAAATGTAAATCACATGAAAATAACATTTTGTCTCCTAATTCCAGTAGGTATTGTCTTGGAATATGTGTTGTCATCTCTGCCTGAACCAACATTTGAAATTTTCTTGATTTCTGTATTTTATGTAGTTCTGCAGTGCATCCTGGGCATTCAGCATATTATGAGACTATTAGTATTTAATTCTTCTGGAAAATGTTGAGCTTTTTCTCCTCAGCTGGCAACTTACCTGGCTAGTTTAGTCAAAGTTCCAGTCCCTCTTCTGAAGAATAGTTCTGTCACTGGTTTTCTATAAGCACTTGCAGTGCTGTTTGGATCTGTCCCGTGGCTACCGTTCAGAGTCAGGATCGTATCTATGTACAAATCCAGGGTGAACCCAGGCTGCATGGAGCAGCTCATGAGGTCACTTTCTTGGGCTTCTCTTCTCCTGACAACCTGGTCCTGTTAGCTCCCAATATTGATCTTGCTGATCTTCTGATTAGGAACAGCAGGCTTTACATTTTTCTCTTTGGTACATATTTTATGGATGCTCCCACCTTCAGGTCTAAGTAGCAGGAAGACAGTGACAGAGGTGAAGTAGTAGGGATTCTTTCATGTTTTGGCCCACAGTTCCTCTGACCAGAGATGAGGTCCCCTCTCAGAGGTGGAGATGCTTGGTCAGCCACCACTATCCTTATCACAGGAGTGCTCAGAATTGCCAGGTAGTCTGACTTCAAATTGTAGTTTCCTTTACCAACTTGCTTGGTGTCAGGATTCTCAGGTGCCCAGAAAACTTTCCCAAGCATTAGTTATTTTCAGTGGAAGGGAGAAGGTGAAGTGAACTCATCCAATTTAAAGTGGAGCCAGTACCTGGAGGGAGCTTCAAACTGGAACCCTCTTGAGTAGACAGGGAATTCTGGCTGAAACCTTCATAATCATCACTTAATCCCATCATTTTTGCCTCAATTTTTATTAGAAGTTTAGACATACAGACAAGTTTAAAGAATGACCAATGAATATTTCTATATCTACCACAAAGGTACAACTATAGTAGTATTTTACAATTTGAAAATATTTAGCAGACATCATGATTTTTCACTTAAAAACTTCTGCATGCATCTATTAAGAATAAGAACATCATCCTATATCTCTAATACCATTTCTAAGAAAAGTAAACACACCATGTTACCTAATACCTTATCTTACTACTTTCCCAATATTTCTGGTTTTTTGTTTTGTTTTTTTTAACTCAGAAGCCAGTAAAAGATCACTCCTGGTATTTGGTTATCTCAAATGTCTTATCTAGAAAAAAATCCACTTGTTACTTAATATATTGGGTTCCTAAAAAGCCTAGGTCAGTTGTCTTTTACAGTCTTAACCTACTTAACCCTGCTTTCTTGCTATGTAGCTCATTCCTTTATTCATTGGCATTTCTTGTAAATATGAAGGTAAGTATAGATTTAATTTTCACAAAACATTTTGGCAGTGTATCGTATATGCTTATGTGTGCTTCATTTTGCATCTCATCAGAAGCTAATGTCAGCTTTTCATACAGGTAGTGAAACTTGATTCCATTATAAAAACAAATCTTTTGCCATCATCTGTTTTCTTCTAGATTGCATGAAGGGTTGTGAAATGATTTTTCAAAATCTACTGTGTACAGGGCCGGGGATTTGGCTCAGTGGTTCTGCCACCTGCCTTGCAAGATCAAGGGCCCGAGTTTGATCCCTGGTTAAAAAAAAAAAAATTATTGTGTACATACGAAAGATTGCATTCTTCAAATTATCTTACATAGAGCTTTCTTTTGTCTGTTTTCATCACTATAAGCCTTTTTTTCCCTCCTAGGTGTATTACAACCAATTATGGTGATAAATTTTTCTTTAAATTGTCCTAAATTTGTCCATTGGGAACAAAGACACATTTATGTGTGTGTTGCACACACTCATGTGCTCCTGTCCTTCTGAATTAACCCGTCAATGCTCAAGTTCTCTCTTGCTTTTTACCCCAGGCATGTTAGACTTCCCTTACTCCAAATAAGGAAGCAACCATTTCTCCAAAGAGCCAGGGTTCCTTTTTAGTGGGGATTGGCATTTAGAAACCAAATTGGGGTCCTAAGAAGGCTCACTGCTATGGAGTCCAACACTGAGCATTGAGATCTACTTAAAAGCCCCATTTTCTGCTGGGCATGGTGGCACATCCCTGTAACTCCAGCACCGTCAGAGGCTGAGAGGGGGAGGATCCCAAGTCCAAGCCCAGCCAGGACAGCTCAGTGATGTTGTGGGATTCCGTATCAAAACCAAAAGGGCTGGAGATTTGGATCAGTGAGAAAGCCCTAGGTTCGATCCCCAGTCACACCCCCCATACATACAAAAAGAAAAAGAGCTTCGTTTTTCCTTCTAAAGGTACTTAAATATATAAAATGATACAGTAATACCTCAGCTCACGAACATTTCTATTCACAATTCGGTTCTCCATCAAAAGTGTCTGACAAAACTTTGCTTCCGTTCATAAACTCCACTTTGGCTGGCCAACACAACCACGGCTCTGTTCCCCACCAAGCACAAACGTAGCCATCTTGCCCAAAATCAGAAAGCAAATTAAGTTCGTGAACTGATGTACCACTGTATTCTGATTAGCTAAAACAAGTCAATTAAGAAATATTTTATGCTGAATGTCTGAGTCTAATTCTAAAACTTAGAAGGGTCTAGCTAATTGTATTAGAACAATATTCTAAATGACACCATCAAAGTCAAACGTAGAATTGAGGGAAAAAAGTGTGGGGAGATAAATGTTCACGTGATAAATAGAAGGCGTAATAATAACATATCTCATATAACTTTACATATAAGAATTCCTAAAAGGTATGTAATTTAAAAAGGTAGCCCTGGCCAGGGACATAGCTCAGTGGCACAGCACCTGTCTGGCAAGTGCAAGGTCCTAGGTTTGAGCCCTGCTATCCCCCCAAAAAAGGTGCCCTATAAATGGGAAACGCCTCAAAGCAACTACATCATCTGGCCGTAGCTGGGTTTAAGTAGTTGTTATAAATATAGGTACAGTCAAGAGACTCATAAAATTCGATGCCTGGTACCAAAAAAAAAAAAAAGACTCTAAGAACCAGGGGTTTAGCTCAGTGGTGCCACCACTGCCTGCCTTGCAAGCACAAGGTCCCGAGTTTGATCTCCAGTACCAAAAAACAAACAAAAACACCACCAGAAAGACTTATAAGAAAAAGGAGTGTGATTGTAAATTAATTAAGAATAAAGTGGTAAGAATCCTCAAGGATGAAAAGACAACTGGTTAAACTACAATTGGCTCTGACCAGGTTATAAAATAAATAGTACTCTTGGGACTTGAAAAAGGAAATAAACCTGTAACTTTCACAGTTAAGACAGCTGAAGACTTGATTATGCCACCGAACTCAACTTCACTAATAAAATGAAAGGCTATAATTAAAACTCTTGACTTTCATGAGATAACAGGTGTACACATATCCCATTCTGTCAAATACTGACCATTTGCCAGATGACAAAAGTATCCGCACGGCAGTCTTCCCACCTGTTTTACTTTACCTTCTCTAATACTGTAAGACACTATTCAGCTATACAGATCTATATCAAATTAAGAAATAGGAAAGCAAAAGGAAGAGACTCCCCTTAGGCAAAATTTTAATTTAAAAAATCATAAATTGCTAGAACTACCTTTTTATTTATTTATTTATTTATTGGTACCGGGGATTGAACCTGGGTCCTTGCACTTGCAAGGCAGGCAACCAAACCACTGAGCTAAATCCCTGGCTAGAACTACATTTTTAAATCAAGGAGTTGTGAATTTTTTGCACAGTTCTGTGCACATATATGCATACAGACATACATGCACACACGTATGTGCAGTCATGTCCTATATATCAATGTTGCGGTCAGTAATGAAACTGAAAACTTCCCATTGCCTGGTGACATCACACAGCCATTGGGACACAGCCTTAACGACATCTCAGCACAGTGCATCACTCGCCTGTGGTGTTGCTCGTGCAGACCTACCGTGCTGCCGGTCAGGTAAGAGAATGACAACTGTTACTGGTGCGTGTATCTACTGTACTATGCTTCTGTGATTACTCTAAACATCTGCCTTCTACATATTAAAAAGCACACTACAAAGCACCGCTGCGCTTCCCTGGCGGGCCCCATCTGGTGTCTGCCATGTCCCTTGGTGGCATCAAGAGGCCATGTGCACTGATGACCTGGACCACACCAGTGCATGCATGATGCCTGTACAACACTCGACGCCTCACGCCTTTTTAACACGTCCCTACCACTTGGGGACACGACTGTACTCACGTACACATATACTGTTTAAGGGGCAGCCTATCAAAGAGCTTTATTTCTTCCATGTGAAGAGTTAAATATAAAGAAGAACTCTGTCTCTATGAAAAGGAGAGCGTCCTAAGTCAGCCTGCCAATTTAGGAAATGAGGCCCCACATTACATTAATAATTCAGTGACTACTTGTAAAAGAAAATTCACATACTGAAGCTTACACTTAGAGTATGAGGTAAAGTACATATTATTTTTGCTTTTCTACAAAGTGAGGCCTTCCAAAATTTTTCTATGAATTTTAAAACTGTTTTTAAAACCCTTAAGATTTAATAGTGCTCATAAAATTTGATGTGTTCATACATATTTTCACTGAAAATTGACCTTGTCTTAATATTAACTAGCTTTTTTCCTGTAGAAGTTAAAGGACTGAACCTTTTAGGAATTGGTGCTCTATTTATTATTGTCCTGATCACTGTCTAATGAGAAGTCTTGGATTATTAGAGAGATAAATTAAAGGTCATAGGCTTATCTCCTCTCAGAAATTTCTGACACTGTGCAGAGGAGCCATAGACGAAAGGCTTCCCATATTCCTTCCATTTGTAGTCTCTCTCTTTATTGTGGACTTTTTTGTGTCTACAAAGGTTTGATCTGTAACTGTAGGCTTTGCCACATTCCATACACTTGTAGAGTTTCTCGCCAGTATGGATTCTCTCATGCTCAGTTAGGAATGAATACTGACTGAATGCCTTCCCACACTGGTTACACTGATAGGGTTTCTCTCCGGTGTGGATTCTCTGATGCCTATAAAGGTTGGATTTGCAGCCAAAGGCCTTGCCACATTCTTGACACGTGTAAAGCTTTTCCCCAGTATGGATTTTCCGATGCTCACTGAAAGATGAGTACTGGTTGAAGGTCTTCCCGCATTCGTTACACTGGTGGGGTTTCTGTCCACTATGGATTCGCTGATGTTCAATAAAGGTGGAGATGCGCGTGAAGGTTCTCCCACACTCCAGACACTGGCACAGCTGTTCTCCAGTATGGAGTCTCTGGTGTTCAACGAGGGATGGAAACTGACTGTAAGCTTTCCCACACTCGCTACATTTATAGGGTTTCTCGCCCGTGTGGATTCTCTGATGCCGATGAAGCTTTGCTCTACAGTTGAAGGCCTTCTCACATTCAGCACATTTATAGAGCTTCTCTCCGGTATGAATCCTCTGGTGCATGGTGAGCGTGGAACACTGGCTAAAGGCTTTCCCACATTCCCTGCAGCGGTAGGGCTTCTCTCCTGTGTGCACTCTCAGGTGCTTGATGAGGGTGGAACTGCTGCTGAATGCTTTTGCACACTCATTGCACTTGTATGGCTTCTCCCCAGTGTGGATTCTCTGATGTGCAAGAAGGGATGACCGGTGGCTGAAGGTCTTCCCACACTCATTACACTTGTAGGGCTTTTCACCAGTATGGATTCTCTGGTGTTCCAGAAGATGAAGACCCTGGCTGAAGCTCTTCCCACACTCATGACAGACATGAGGCTTTCCTCCTGGGTAAATCTGGAAGCATCTCATTAGGTCAAAGTTCTGTGTAAAATCTTTCCTGAAGGTATAATACATATTGGGCACCATGTCTATGGGAGCACTCTGTTGTGAAACAAGAACTGTGTTTATAAATGAGCTCTTGCCCAGGTCTAGACCTGTAAGGTTTCCATTCTCACTGACGGTGTTCTTGGGTAAGGCTGCCATTTGCCTAAGGGGATTCTTCTGTTGCTCCTGTACTATCCTACCCTCAGGATCCTCAGATTCTTCAAAGTCCATGTCCCAAGGACCATGCTCAGAAGACTTTTTCTTTATTATTCCACGAGATATTTCTTCAATAAAAATGTCCTGTCTGACGGGCACTGCTTCTATGTCAGGCCAAGTCTTGAAATCTGAAATGAACCAGAAGAATTAATGCCTCCTGGAAGAGACAAATTCATCAGTGAGATAATAAAATTGGCAACAATATATGTAAAAGAGGTTTGACAGCACCTGATCTCAAAGGTGGACCTGAATTGAGAAAAAGATGATGGGATAGTGGAAAGAGAAGGAAATCAGGATTATTGTGGCACAGTACGTTGGCAGTGAAGAGGCTGTAACTCCTAGGTAAAGTCAGAGTCAGAACAAGCCATGCAGGTGTGAGGATACAGATGATGTCATGTGATAAGCTCAAGTTAAATACTATGAGGTTCTTCGATTTATCATCATTTCCTACTCTGTGTATGCTAGGCAATATAGTAGGTAACCTGTCTTTCCTCTCTCTTTCCTATTTCTACTCTGATTATATTTTTCCCATCTTCCCTCTGAAATTCCATACATAATAACTTAAACAGGTGGATTGTTTTTCTTATATTTTGTGATTTCATATGTGATTATAACTTCATATCTCAGTCTGTGAAAGGGGAAACAGTCTGTTAGAAGGAGGACATTTGGGTTTTTAAATTTACAACAGTCCTGACACATGACTGAGGAGATAATATCCGATACAAGTTTAAGATTCTAATTATAAAGAAGATTTAAAAAGTCAGGCACCTATGGTGATAAAAACAGCATGGTGCTGGTAAAAGAGCACACCTGAGGATCAATGGGACAGACCAGAGGATGCAGAAATAACTCCAGACATACTCAGCCACCTTATCTTTGACAAAGGAGCCAAACACCTTCACTGGAATAAGCTGGAAAAACTGGCTTTCTACATGTCAGAGATTGAAACTAGGCCCATATCTTTCACCACACACTAACCTCAAATCAAAATGGATCAGTAGAACAGTTGAGGAGAGAGCAGAAGGCAAAGACTTCAGCAACAAAACCCAGACCACACAGTAAATACTACAAAGAATCAACAATTGGGACCTCATCTTATTAAAAAGCTTTTGCGTGGCAAAAAAAAACAAAAAACAAAAAACAAAAAAACAAAAAACAAAAGAATGAAAAGCATGGGAAAATATTTTTACCAGCTATTTCAGTAAAGGACTAGAATATATAAACTAGAATATATAAACTAGAATATATAAACTCAAAAATATATTTCAATATTGAACTCAATATATTGAACTCTATATGAGTCAAATATATGAACTCAAAAAAATCAGATCCCCTCATATTTAAAGACCCAATACAAAAATGGGCACCTGAAATAAAAAAAACATTTCTCAGATGCAGAATTAGAAATAGCAAATAAATATAAGAAAAAGTGTTCAACATCACTGGTCATTCATGAAATACAAATTTAAAACAATTCTGACATTCCACCTCACTCCAATATGTTTGGCTGCTGTTAAGAGATCAACCAATAATAGGGCTGAGAATTTAGCTCAGTGGAACTGTGCCTACCTGACAAGCCCAAGGTCCTGAGTTCAATCCCTGGTACAAAAAAAAAAAAAAAAAAAAAAAACTGGAGGGGCTGTGGGAAAAAAGCTTTATTTATAGCTTTATACTCTTTAAGAGAAATCCATCGGACACACACATTTAAATACTAAATTGTTCCCTTGTGTGAGAAACCAAAAGTGGAAATAAAGACTGAAATGTATAATGGATATTGGGAAATGGAAAGAAAGGTTTCAAATGGGAAAGGAGAACAAGGGAGGTGGAAGAGAAAAAGGGAGGGACAAGAAAAAAAGTGAAAATAGAAGGAAAAAATGGAAACAAAGCTTTTGTACACAGGGAGGGGAGGGGGGCTTGAGAGGCGGTAAGGGATAAAACAAAATTTATTTTTTAAAAAAATCAGGGAGGGCTGGGGGTTTAGTTCAGTGGCACTGCACCTTCCTTGCAAGCGTAAGGTCCGAGTTTGATCCCCGGTAATGGGGTGGGGAGGGATTAGGGGCTGGGGATTTAGCTCAATGGCACTGTGTCTGCCTCAGAGGCACAAGGTCCTGAGTTCAATCCGTGGTACCAAAAAAAAAAAAAAAAAAAAAAAAAAACACCTGCAACAGTCTATCCCTTGGGGGAAGATTAATAAGCTGCAGTCAGAAGACTAGACAGTCTTTATAGAAAAAATGCGAACAATGGAAACTAAACCAAGAAGAGCCTTACACATGCTAGGTGAGTACTCTACCACTGACCGACACCCCCAGCCTTTGTAGAAATCTTTTGAGGATAATGAAAATCTGTGAGATCTATGAATTCAGTTTATCTTGAAGTTCTAGAATATGTCCAAGTCCCAACCCTAGCTCTGATCCTAGGTAGAAAGATTTATCTTGAGCCGGGTTTAAGGCACAATGGTTAAACCTTTCTTTACTCAATCCATAATTGAAAATAACAGTATTAGATAAGTGCAATTTAGTATCTGTAAGTGTTTCGATAAACCATGCAGTTTAAAGTACAACTGGGCCTGGGCATCTCAGCAGATCTGCCTCCTCCGGCCCTGCACATCACTGGCTCCCTGTGCCCATTCCCGGTGTCGCATTCCTTCACCTGGACAGATGTCAGGAGCTATTTCTCTTTCTTCTGTGCAGGGATCTTCTCGCCGCAACTGGGAAATCACCTTAGGCATCGAAACTGGAATCCCTACTCACAGAAAAGGAAACGGGGTCTGAATAAAGCACAGAGAGAGAACCCACACAGAACTCATACACCACTCCACTGAACCTCCACAGCAGGGGGGACCAGCCTAGGGAGGTGGGGTGGGCAGTACACTTTGGGGGGGCGTGAGGGCTTCAGGGGTAGATGAAGGAACAGGGCATAGCTCAGAAATAAGACAGGCCCCAGCAATGAACACCTCCGAGTCAGGGTGGTTCCACTACAGTTTTCAACATCTAACCTGAGATCAAATCTTTGACCTGCTTCATGAAGGAACATTAATTTGGGGTGGGGTGTGAGGAAGGGCAGGAGGAAGAGGAAAGGTTAACATAAAGAACGCAGCAACAAAAACATGCACTTTTAACTTTGCAGAGATTTGGCTTTTCCAGAAACCCCCAAGCTCTAAACCCAGAGAGGGCTCTCTAAGCTGTTCCTCTAGCGCGTCCTTCCTCACAGCAACTCCTTACCCGCGGAGACCAGGTTGCTGTAGTTCTCCAGCATCACCTCCCGGTACAGGCTCCTCTGACCAGGGTCCAGCTGCAGCCACTCGTCCTGGCTGAAGAGCACAGCCACATCCCTGAAGGTCACTGACTCCTGCAACGGCAAAGTCATTCCTGCTCAACCAAGAGCATCATCTTCAGTGGAAACTCAGTAAGAAAGGGACACCAGGGTGCTTAGCAGGCAGTTCTGAAAAATGTCTCAAGATTATAATAACTACTTAAACAAATATTTATTGAATACTCATTGGGAGCAAAGATAAATGCCACATGTTGTGGGGATTGGGAAAAACTGGCCAGGTCCCTATCATCAGGGAATTAGAATCCCAGCCTTTGATCTATGTCTCCCATCCAAAATCAGATCTCCCGCAGTGAGTTTGATTCTGTTAGGAGGAGGGACAGTCAAGATTGTGTGGCCCAGAACTGTAGCCACCTGTCAGGCCCTTTAAAAAGGCGATTCCTCAGGGCCCAGCTGAGGACTGTCTGCTACTACCTTAGGTCCTCGAGCTACCGTCTGCACCCCCATTACCTGCTCCTCCTCTGCCAGAGAGCCCGCCACCGCCTCTGACCCTTCGGACCCCCCATCTCCAAGTCAGCACCTGTCAGACAGCAGCCTCGGCTCCAGCCGCTCCAAAGTGCCCCTCTACGCTGACGCCAGTTCCACGCCCTGCCAACTCTCCTGTACCCACCCCTTCCAACTGAGGCCCTCACTCCTCCACTGCCCTGTGTGGTGCTGATGAGCTCGCTTCTCCAGAGACAACCCTCATCTGACATCTCACATCTGCTCAGCCCTCCGACTTCCATCTACTACCCTGGAAGATGGCTCTGAACAACCCTGACCGGTCACCCTTTATCACCACCCACTTACGACCATCAGTCTCCTCAACTGAAAGCAACACGCTCTATTGTGTTGTAAAAAGGCCCAAGTGATCACTGACCTTGTGGAGTCCGTATTCCAGACCCACATGCCTACCTGGGACGACTGCCATCAGCTGCTCTAGTGCCCTGGTTCAGCACAGAGGAAAGGTGCACAATCACCATCGAGGCCAGGAGACACCTTCAAGATACGGCCCCTGCCCGCCAAGGTGCAACAGCGTGGGCCAAATGCATGGCTGCCAGGGCCAAACCAAACTGACCACACCACTGGGGACAAGAAGCTCTCACCAGGTCCCTTGGAGCACTCCTTCATGGTGTTCATGTAGCTGCCAAAAAGCCTACAAACAAGTCCAAAGCTGCTTCTGTGTGACAAAAGCCTCACAATGCCCAGTGACTTCTCTGAACAACTATGTGAAGCATTTTGCATCTACACCCTGTTTGATCCAGAAGACCTGAAAATCAACGCATGGTAAACTCAGCAGGTGTGGCCCAGCCTGCTCCTGACATCCAACACAAGCTCCACAGACCAGATGGGTTTGCTGGCCAGAATACCAAAGAATTACTTGAAGTAGCAATGACTTTTTGCCAACAGAGACTGGGAAGCCCAGCAAGAAGAGAAAAAGATGAAACAAAAGGTCGCATTCCTCGCAGCTGTATTAGGAAAACCACATCTGACCAGAAGGCCAGTACCACTGTGCAAAGGGGGAGGGGAACCAACGAGCAAAGCCCCTATGTCCAGATGAATGTGCCTACTGCAGAGAAACTGGACACTGGAAAAATCAATGTCCACACTCAAACAAAAGACCAATGGTCACGCTGGTCCTTGTTACCAACCCGAGCCTCCAATGCCAGACCTGATCAGACTTGCTGAAGGAGATTCAGATTAGCACAGACCCGGCACCCTCAGTCCTGGCCCTCTGGCGTCCCTGGTCAAAGTGACGGTTGGGGGCCCACCAGTGACTTCCTGACACGGGAGCTGTCCATTCTGTTGTGACCACTCCAGCAGCACCCTCACAGAGGGAACTGCTGCCATCATAGAGACCACGGGGTCTCTGCCAGCCTGGAGCCTGCCGCCTGGGAGGATGTGAAATAGTTCATGAACTCCTCTATCTGCCTGATTGTCCCATTCTTCTACTGGGATGAGAACTGTTAACCAAACTCAGAGCTCTGATACATCCCATTCACGTCTGAAGGGCCAGCCCATCTGACCTCAGAGATCAGAAAAGCCTAGTCTTATCAGTTGTGGTCCCAGAGAAGAATGGAGACTACATAAAAACAGAAGTAAACCCTTCTGATCTCCTCGAGGCCTTTCCAGAAGTCTGGGCTGAAAAGTCCCTGCCAGGACTAGCCAAAAACTGGCCCCAATTATACTAGACCTCAGCCAGGAGCTACTCCTGTCAGACTCAAAAAGTATGCCATGCCTCGAGAGGCACGACTTGGCACCCAGGAACATACTGACCACCTCCGAAAGGCCAAATTCCTTAAAGACTGTCAATCCCCTTGGGACACTCTCCTGCTGCCTGTCAGAAAGCCTAATGGGAGTTACCAGCAGGTACAGGACCCCCAAGCTGTCGGTGCTGCTGTGGTGACCATCCACCCAGTAGTGCCTCACCCATGTACTTCACTGAGCCTGCTCTCACCAGAGGCAGAGGCAGCCTGGTTTACGTGCCCAGACCTCAAAGATGTCTTTTTCTGCCTGTGATTGGCCCCCCAGAGCCTCTCTTTGCCTTCAAATGGGAAGGACAAAGACACAACTCACCTGGACCAGACTCCTGCAGGGCTTTAAAAACTCCCCCACTTTGTTCAGAGAATCTCTAGCTGCCAATCTAGCTGCTTTCCCAGGAGAAAATCTGAACTGCACCCTGCTGCAGCATGTGGATGATCTCTTGCTAGCCAAGTTAGTTCTAGAGACTGGCTAATAAGTATCCAGCTATGCTGGCCTTCTGTTTGGTACTTGGATTTATCATCCCTAAAGAACACCAGGGAATAGGACCTGAGAGAAAACATCTGCTCCCTTCCCAGGCCAGCCAGCAAAAGAAAACTCTGAGAATTCCTGGGGGCAGCAGGTTTTGCAGAATTTGGATTCTGGGATTTGCTGAGAAAGCCATGCCCCTCTATGCTGCCTCAATGGACCAGAGAGCCAGCCTTTACAATGGGATGATCTGCTTTCAAAGACACCAACTTATCAGTACCCCTGCTTTAGGGTTACCAGACTTAAGCTGAGAATTTAACCTCTTTGTTCGTGAAATAGACCACGTAGCCCTAGGAGTCCTAACCCAAACTGCAGGGCCCTGGCAGAGACTAATGGCCTAATCTGTCCAAACAATTAGACACTGGCAGCAGATGGACACCCTGCCACCGTGTCCAGGCAGCAGCTGTGACTCATGAAAGAGACAGACAAAACGACCTTGGGACAGAGCCTTTGAGTAGTCCCCCACTTAGCTACGACTCTGAGGAACAATCGAAGACATAAATGGCTTTCAAATTCCAGAATGGCCAGGAGCAAGGGATCCTCCATAAAAATCCCAGTCACCTCAGAGACTGTGAGGCCTTAAACCCAGCCACCCTTCTGCCTGCTGAGGAGGCCAGCCAGACCACAACTGCGAAGAAGTCGGTGACAGCTCTTCTCCCACCGACCCAACCTTACCTTGGAGCCAAAGCCTCACGCAGATGCCACCCTGTTCACTGATGGTAGCAGCTTCGTGCTGGCTGGAGAGCGACTGGAAGGGTGCAGTCACTGCCACAGACCAGGTCATCGAGACAGCCCCTTCCTAGAGGGGCTCAGCACTGACAGCAGAGCTCTGGGCCCTCATCCGAGCCCTCCGATGGGCTGGAGGAAAGACTCAACATTTACACTGACTGAAAGTACACCTTTGCTGCTCTTCATGTCCACGGCAATATACAAAGAGAGAACATCTAACAGCAGGGGAAAAGAAATTAAAAATAAAAGGACATACTCCAACTCCTAGAAGCAATCTGGGAACCCAGAAAGATGTTCCTCATGCACTGTCGAGGACACCAAAGAGGACGAGATCTTACTCTAAAAGGAAACCAATTGGCCAATAAAACAGCCAGAGAAGCTGCCAGACAGACTAGGCCCAATGTCCTCGCACCCCTGCAGGTTTTTAAAGATGGTCACATTGGCTACCCAGAAAACCAGACCAACAGACTGCTTTTTATTAAAGCAAAGGCCTTCATAAAAGAAGGGACTGCCTCCAACTGCTGCAGATTTACCCGATGCAAAGGACAATCCTGGCTGTTACTCACTAGAAGAGAATTTATGGACTCAGGAACAGGGCCCCTCAGGATGGGGTCAGGCCTCTACACACTACCAGGTGCCAGAATCTTCATTCCGGCACACAGCGCTTACCCATTTGTTTTACAAACCTATAAAAGGACTCACTTAGGAAAAAACAAAGCAAGAAGTTCTCTTAAAGAGATACTACTACAAAGCAAGACTCCCCTCAATCTGTGCCACAGTCTGATAAAGATGCCACGACCTGAGCCCACAACAACCCTCTCCAGAGACGCTACCACCCCCAGCAATTCAACACATAGGGAATCCCGTTTGAAGTTTTACAGACAGCCTTTATGGAATGCAGCCCTGCTTTAGACACAAATACCTATGAGTCACAGTCTGCACTTATTCTGGGTAGGTCAAAGCCAAACCAACCAAGACATAAGTCCTAGAAGTCATTCAACCCCTCCTCTGAGAGTTGTTCCCCAGTGTGGACTTCCCTTGTCAATCAGGAGTGACAATAGCCTGCATTTGTGGAGCAGGCTGTCCACAGCTTAGCTGACATGCTAGATTAAATGGAACCTTCACAGCGCCTATAGGCCACAAGTTTGGGAAAAGTAGAACGCATGAATGGAACCCGAAAGGCTGCCTTAGCTAAGTATTGCCAAGAAATGGGCGCAAGCTGGAGAGGTGTGTTAGTGCTGGCCCTGCCCAGTCAGATGCACTCCTGGGCCCTCAGGTTACTCACCTTATGAAATGATGTGTGGGAGGTCACACTTCCAGGGAGACAGACAAACAACTAGGGGTTAATTATGTGGCTTTAGAACTACAAGTATTGGGAACAATTTTCTCACAAATCAATAAAACTGTGTTAGAAAGAACCCCGATCCTATGGGAAGTCCTGCATAATCCCTTTCAACCAGGAGAGTCAGTGTGGGTTAAAGACTGGAAAAAGACCTCCCTGTAAACCAATCTAGCTAGGA